GTGGCCAAGTCTCTGACTGTCCTCATCAGTTACTGGGATGCCCACCTGCAGTTCCCTGAAAAGGAAAGGGGGTGGGGGTCAGACCACAGGCCCTAAATCCTACCTGTAATGCCCTCTCGGGCAGCTATTCCCTGGGGTCCCCTCAGGTGTCACAGACTCAAAGGCTATCTCTCCCAGCCCAGGAGCCCCGAGTCAGACTGAGACTGTGCCCAGAAACTTCCGTTTGTGGAGGGAGAGGACTGGGCTGGTGCGCACGGCGGGCACGCGTGCCAGGAGCTGGGGCCACTCACCTCTGCCTCATCAGGGGGGTGTTGATGCAGTTGGCGGCTGCCACAGCTGCAAAGGGCACAAATCTGCCGACCAGGGCGGGCAGGTGCTGGGGGAGGGAAGATGTCACTTAGTGGCCCTAAGGGCCGTGGGGTGGTGAGGAACTCTGGGGAGGGGTGTGGGGAGCCTGTAGGTCGGTGTGGACGAGTGATGGGGAAATGGAGGGCATTTACCTTGGTGAGGGATTTGAGCCCCAGGGCTGTGACCACGGCACCGGTGGTGGCACTCACGTAAGCTGTCCCCAGCTGCCTGTGGCGGAAGAGTCGGGACACACGTGGGAGGTGAACGGCTCTCGCTTTCAGGGACATGCCAAATCCTCAATACATGAGGCGTGGAAGGCAGAGAAATTCCTTCCCTGCTACAGTGTAGACTGGTCCGGAAGTTCCGATCCCTCCCTTTCAGGAGCAGAGGGCCCCCCCCCCCCGTAGCACACACGAGAGGACGCAGTGCCCTCAGGCCAGGAAAGCGGGGAGAGGGGCAGGCTGAGAGCAGCACTCCGGAAATAGGAGCAAACCAGAGGGAGCAATGGTGGGTCCCGGGGGAGTCCCTGGGGACAAGCTCTCACCCCACAGAGATGGGAGCATCGCCACTGCGGTTGGAGTAGTTAACAACAGCATTGAAGGACTGATTCACCCACTGCCAGAACACCACCGTCGGGGTCTTCCTGAGGGAACAAAGACGCTTACGTCTGCCCCCTCTATGGTGTCCCTCATCCTCCAACCCTGATAAGGAAGCCCCAGAGGTTATTCCCAAACCCTCAGGAGGGACCCAGCTGATAACCCTAGAACATGCTCTGGTGAGCCTCGCACAACCCTCCCCACTCGTCCCACTTGTGCAGCCACACACACTGTGTCTGGGCTGGGAGGAACCCCAGGGCTGAGTTCTGAGAGGTGTAGGGGATTCTATCACAAGCTCTCACCCGCCCACTATTTTCTGCCCAGCGGGCCTCACCTAGTCATCAAGCTACACTCTAGCTTAGAGTGCTCAGGGAGGGGACACATGGGACAGGACCTGCCTGTAGAAGGTGAGCATGCAGCCAGTGATGGTCATGTTCATGGGCACCTGCGCTGACATACGGCCAATCAGGACCATCTTCTCCCCTGTGTCCGGATGGAAGGCAGAGTCGTACGCATACTTAGCCCTCCACAGCTGGTCCTCGGTGAGCCCAGGCGTCACCACGCCAGCCCTGTGGAGAATGACAGGGAGGAGACAGGTAATTCTAGGCGGCAGATCTGCCCCTGCAAGCCCTGACCAGGGGAAGTCTGGACAGAGGACCAGGAACTTTGGCCCCCAATCTCAGAATAAAGGAGCTCCTTGTCTCGGGGGAAGAACCACATCTTCCCAGAAGAGTAGGCGGGCTCCTATTTCTATTTTCCTTGTAGCCACACAAACAGGGGTGCCCTTCTGTTTCTGCCTCAAAGCTTGGTAATGGATAATGATGGTTCCCAATGGGTTGAAATGGCCGGGGGCATCACAAGGGCTTTTCCTCCTGGAGACAAGGGGGATGCTCTCCTTCTCCTTGGGCTCAACTCTGAGACCATCTGTTCTTGCAGAGGGTGGCCTAGCAGTGGGACACCCCCCTTTAGAGGGTTTGTGAAGTGGACAGCAGTCCCCTGCCCACATATATCAATGCCACCTCCTCAACCCAAACACCCTAAAATTCTCTGGATTAAAACTCTGTGCCATAGTTACCTGTAATTCCAACACATAAGGCCAGGGAATAAGGGGGTTGAGGAGTGGGACAGGGTCACTTTCAAGTTTGGGGAGATAGATGCAAAAGGTACTATATTCAAGGCAGGGAATGAGGCCCTGGGATACAGGGTCAGATGGGGTAGCGGTCTACCTGTAGTTCTGCACGATGTTCCGGGAAGCTTCCAGCTGTGCTCCGGAGAGCAGCAGATTTCGGGGGTCAGTAACAGTGAAGAAGTGCCGGGCTCTGCCCAGGAAAGTGCTTTGGTCCCAGCGAGGTTCCTGAATATTGATATCCAAGGGCAACTCACCCATTTTCTGCAGGGCAAAGACCAGAGACTGAGGACTCTGAGGGGGGGTCCAAGAGCTCTGCCTGTGGGAACCTCTGGTAGCCCTGCCCTGGTCTCTGGGCCTCTCACCAATCCCTTCCAGAGCTCAAGGTGACTCCAGATAGGTAAGCAAGGGCTGGGGGGAGGAGCTGTTTTTCAGACAATGTTCTGGCTCAGAGACCTAGAGCCATGGGAGGGGGGGACGGGGGAAACACAACCAGAGAAACAGATCTCCTTTGCACTCTGGCCTGGTGCAGATTTTCATCAGTGAGGATTTACATGTGTGTGGTTGATGCAAGAGCAGCAACTAATCCTGGGCAGCGACTCTCGTGCTCTCTATGCACAAAATTGCATATTATAGGCATTATATATGTACATGTCAGCTTTAGGCCCCAGCTGCCTTGAGACCTAGCTGCAAACCCCCAAGGCTGATTGGGAAGATGGCATAAGCCATCCCACGCCCCAGCCCCTGATTGGAGGAGAGCAAGGGCTCTCTGGCCACCCCAGGGCTTATCTATGCCAGATCTCAAGTAAGGGACTCTGATGCCTGTCAGGCATGCGTGCTAGGGGGCATGCACAAATCTCCTCTTCAGGGGCATTTTCCTCAACCCACGCTGAATGGCCCAAGGCCCTCCTTGTTCCCCAGCTGGGCAGGGCTGGCACAGACACCCATCCACCTCTCCCCAGGCCACCCACGGCCAGAAAGGAGGAGTCATTAAGTGCCCTCTCCACCCAGTACAGAGAGGAAAGCCCAAAGCAGCCATCTGGCTGTGTTAGGCAAAATCCTACAATATGACTAATCCTCTCCGACCATACTTCCTCCCTCCCTGGAAGACACACCCTCCCCTCTCTCACACACTCACACGAACATACCCACACACAAGGAAGCATACATGCCCTACACAGACATACAAACAGTGGACACGCCCTGCGTACACTAGCCCACAAAGACCGTTACTTGCACACTCACACATACACACACAACCCATACCCATCAACTGCAGACACCTGAATGTGTAACCACATAAGGCCCCACCCTGACATTCCTCCCCGCAACCAAGTTCCCCTCGCCCCCAAGAACCTCCCTAGAACCGAATATACCGAATCCGGAGAGGACAGAGAGCACACTTCAAGGCAGGCTTCCCTCCCTCTTAGCCCTCAATCCCCTACTCCCCTGACCGCTGAACCCCGCCCCGGACCGCCGGCACTCACGCTTTCCCAAGCTCCCGGGCTTCTGGCCTCTGCAGCTCCCAGACCCGCCTTCCTCCAGGCGCGGCGCCCCGGCTCCTGCCCTCCCACACATCACGCGTAACGTCACGCGTGACGCTCACCCGCCGGAGGGGCGGGGCCTCCCCGCCTCCGCGCGTTCGCCGGGCGTGCCCAGGGATTGGCAGAGCCTGGGGGCGGCGGGTGCCATTTGGGGCGAAGCCCCCAGCCCGGGCTCCAGGGACCTGGCCCAATGCCGCCTCCCAGAGCCAATCGGGGCTCGGGGAAGCAGTTCTGGCCAGTCCCCAGCCAGAGAAAGAGCAGAGGCCTAGCTGGCCTCGGGGAGGGGGGCACCGGCCTCGGCAGCAACGGGTCTAGGTGCCCAGCGCGAAGGCTCTCAGCGCGCAGGACGAAGGCTGGCGGCGTGGAGGGGCCATCCTCTGATGGTGTGCCCGGAGGGTCTCGGATTACCGCCCGGCTTGTTTACTAGATGGCCGCCTTGGCAGTGGCCTCTGCCTCCTTGGCCTCCTGGGCTCCTACCCCAGTTCCCACAAGTTCTTGTCACAGCACTTCGGCACTCGCAGCACTTTACAGTCTCCCTCCTGCCTGTGCTCCCTCTATGTCCCCACCCTTTTCCTCCTCCAGCTCCCTCCTTACCCGCCTCTTGTAACCCCTAGCTGCATTGGGTCCCCAGTTTCCTTCCGGCCCCAATCCCTACACCTGCACCACAGACCTTAGCCCTAGTCCCTGCCCTGCGATGTGTAGGGGCAGAAGGCTCAAGGTGCCTCTGTCTGCATCAAGCAAGCGGATCAGAAAGATTCTTCCTCCCCCTAGTGTCCTGGAACCAGCGGCTCCACCCTGTGCCCTTTCCAGAACTGAGTGGCCAGAGAGACACTTAGTGACACAGAAGGAGGATGCATGTCAAAGAAGGCAACACACACACACACACACACACTTCACAACTCACCCAGTCACCTTAGAGAGCACGCCTGCCGCACACCCAGGCGCCAGTCCACGCTCCTGCCCACCGAATGCTTACGCCCCCCCTCTGCCCAGGTGGCATTCCCTCACTGAGGCCTCAGGGGGGGACGCGGAGGGGTGGCAATTCCAAGAGCCCTAGTATCCGGCTCGGCCTGGAGAAGACGCGGTACTGGGCTCCCCTGCGCTGAACCGGTAGCGGGAGGGGACGAGGCGTGACCCAAACCCTAAGTTTGTGGGGCGGGGTGGGGCATCAGAACTCGAACTGCAGCGGGCAGAACTCAGCGGCCTCAGCCCGGGTGACAAACGGCTGTCCTGCGCGCTCAAGGGAGGGGACCGAGGCAGTGACTGGCGGCCCTCGCAGCCAATGGGGGCCCGCGGCTACGCAGGCCAGCCCTATTCCAGCAGCCCGGGCGGAGCGTGGGCGAGGTTCCCTCCCGGCGGCGGCGAGCTCTCGCGCCTGCGGGAGCGGCTGCCGCACCAGCAAGCAGGTGAGGGGAGCCAAGCTCGAGAGGTGGGGGCCGAGAGGACCGACCCGAGGGTGGGATGCTGCGTGCTGAGTCCAAGAGCTGCTCTGGGGGACTTGGCTCCGCGTTTTGTGCGCGCTGTGTGGGACTCTAGCCAGCAGGTCCTCCGCCAAAGCCCGGGAGAGGTTCAGGCAACCTCTTTAGACGGGAGAGGAGGGGGGACGGAAGGGACAGCAGCCTGGGACCAGGGGATCTCTGGGGGTCGGGGAATCTCTGGGACCCTTGGCTGCAGCTGTCCCAGGTTCTGCAGCCCTGCCCTAGAGATCCGAACCCCCTACCCAGATACGCAAGGAGAGGCGTGCGGGGAATCGTCCGGGCCCCAATTTCTCTTACACCATTTGAAGCCCTATGACCCGCAAGACTCCATCTCCACTATACCCAGGACTGGACACTGGGGTAGATGACTCAGCTGAGAGCCGGAATGAGGGGTGAATGAGAGGCTCCCACTGGCCTTGTATAAATGGTTCCGAAAGTCCACGATGCTGCCTGGACTGGGCCAGGGGCCTAAGGCAAGGGAGGACAGGATCTCAAATCAGGGCGGGGGTGGAAGTTCTGGGGGGCAGCAGGGCAGCATTTACACTCTTGTCCCAATCCCTGCTCTCCATCCACAGGCCTGGAGCGCACACTCCTGAGAATCTGCAGAGGTGGGGGGCTCCCAGTCACTGAGACTCCAGTTCCGCACAGAAGGCTCATGGAGCCGGGAGCACGCGGGGCCCTTTTCGCGAGGGCTAGCAGGTTCCTTCTGGACTTGTAGGGCGCCGCCCCAGGCTCGCCACGATGGCGCAGGGTTTTGCAGTGGGCTTCGACCCACTGGGCCTCAGAGACCTCAGCTCGGGCTCCCTGAGCTCCCTCTCCTCCCGCGGCCACCTGGGCAGCGACTCGGGCTCCGCAATGCGATACCTGCTGAAGAAGCAGCAGCGGCTGCTGAACGGGCCCCCCCGTGGAATCCGAGCCTCCTCGCCCATGGGCCGCGTCATCCTCATCAACTCCCCCATCGAAGGTGGGGGCGGGGCCCAGCTTAGGCCTGGCGCTAAGGGTGGGGGTAAGGGCCAGCTGGGAGGAGGAACTCGAGAGATGGGAGTCTTGGGGCTGTGGGGCATGGAGGGCCCCTGTTTTGCCATAGCTCTTCCTCATCAGCCCTTTCCTCCTGTTCAGGCCAATGCTTTAGGGTTGCAGGACTATAGAGAGGTCGGAGGTGGGAGATGGGAGTATGGAGGCAGGGACAGGTGTGTGTGATATGCTAGCCCCCAAGCCAAGCAAGGCAGGGTAGCTAATTGGCTGCTCCATCCTATGGACTCTGCCTTTCTCCAGTCCCTTTGTGTATGCCCTGCAGGTTGGGGGGAGCAGGATGGAGAAGGATATATTCCATCAACCAACCCGTGGTGTGACCAGCTCTGTGCTGGGCTGTGAAGAGTCAGTGCCCAGTTGGGGAGACAGAATTAAAGCCTTCAGGTGCAGGGGCGCCTGGCTCAGGTCCTGAGATCAAGCCCCACACTGGGTGTAGAGATTACGTAAAATAAGTAAATAAATATATTTTTTAAAGATTTTATTTATTTATGTGAAAGCATGAGAGGGGGAGGGTCAGAGGGAGAAGCAGACTCCCCGCCAAGCAGGGAGCCTGATGTGGGACTCGATCCCGGGACCCCAGGATCATGACCTGAGCCGAAGGCAGTTGCCCAACCAACTGAGCCACCCAGGCGCCCCTAAATAAATATTTTTTAAAAAAAGGTTTCAGATGCAGAAGAAAGGAAAGAGGTAGAGTAGCAAATATTCCAAAGAGGGGGGGAAAGAAGGAGGGTTGAGGGTCAGGAAGGGACCCCCAGGCCTGGGCCCCGAAGGAGGGGGCTACCTGACCTTTTATAGTTGTTTAATGCTGTTACATCGCACACCTGTTCTATACCAGTCCTGGTTAGGTCCTGCAGGGGCCTGGAGGAAAAGGAGGCTCAATCTTCACCTTCCAGGAACTTACAGTGTAGTAGGGCTTCGAGACAGAGCAATGAGAACAGCTGGTGCTGGCGTGGAGGTATCCCAGACAAGGCTGGAAGTGGAAACCAAGAGCACAGGGTGGGGAGGGGGGCGGGGAGGAGTGCAATTAGGAGACAGCTTGGCTGCAGTGACAGATGTGAGGCGACAAAGAGCCAGTGAGCAAGGCAGGACCTTGAGTGCCAGTTGGGGGGGGGGGAGTGGGTACCCCCTGGGGCTGGGCTTTCTGTGGGCCAGATGCCATAAATATCTCCAGCTCCCCTTCTGTTTCTCAGCCAGCAGAACTCCCCTGGCTGGATCCCAGAGAGGACTTTTCAGACCCTGCTCCTCCCCTCTGACCCAGCTGGGCATCTCAGGTCCCCTCCCCGGGCCGCTGGGTTGCTCAGAGAGCAGGCTTTCCTGACCCCGTGGCCCAGCATGCTCACTCCCATCATCTACCATGCTGGGTCTCCCCCCTGGGTGAGCAGCAGGGCACTGCTGAGAGTCACCACTGTCGTTCGGGTCATGAAGCAGAAGTCCTCAGAGGAGGTAGGAGACACGGTAGAGGATAGGGAAGGCACTGGGGCATGGCCCTTTTGGGTCCCATTGTATTAAAAGAACTTACACGTGCCCCTCACACAGCCACATGGACCATGCCCCAGCTATGAGGCGATGGCTCTGTACACTCTCCCTCTGAAGATCCTCTCGCAGAAGAAGTTCCGGGATTGCTCTGTCCCGCTGCTTCGCCCTAGAGCCCTAGTGCAGCCAGGGGAGCAGCCTCTCCTAGCAAGGGGAGGCCCGGGGCATGGCCTCCACCAGCTGGCCTCTACCCTGTCTGTGCTGGGAGCCTCTGAGCCCAGAATCTTCCCCTCTGCCTGAGCACAAACATCTCCCCACTTGCCGCATCCTGGAACCTCTCCCCCTTGTTACTATTTAGACCATTCCAGAGGCCTAAAGGAACGGATAAGGGAGGCCCAGTGGGGAGGGAGAAACTGGGACCCACATCACCCCCACGACTTCCCACCAGCTCCTCAAACTCAGCTGGTCCCAGAGAAAATGCATTCTCTAATCCAAACCAGCCCTTCCTCCTCACTCTCGTTCATCCGTTTATTCTTTTACTTATTCAAAAAATCCTTGGCAGATATCACGTGCTGTGCGACATGCTGGAGATATATTGGCAGAAAAGGATTACAAAGTCCCTACCGTGACTGAACTTACAATCTAGCTAAAGGAGACAGACAATAAATAATATGTGAGTAAGCCAATAATGAGAAAGGATGGTAAGAATCCTGGAGGTACTTATTTGGATGATACGATAGGGTAGTGGTTCACACACGTGCGAATACATCAGAATTGCCTGGGGTGGGGAGGCTTATGAAAAGACAAGCTGATGAGTCCCACACCCAGAGCTTCTGATTCAGGGCATCTGCAGCGAAGCCCAAGAATACACATTTTTTATAGACTTTTTTTTAAAGATTTTATTTTTGAGTAATCTCTACACCCAATGTGGGGCTCAAACTCACAACCCTGAAATTAAGAGTCATATGCTCTACCGACTGAGCCAGCCAGGTGCCCCAAGAATACACTTTTTTCAAAAAAGGTTTATTTATTTGAGAGAGAGCAGGGGGAGGAGCAGAGGGAGAAGGACAAGCAGACTCCACGCTGAGCTCAGAGCCTGCTGCAAGACTCCATCCCAAGACCCCGAGATCATGACCTGAGCTGAAATCAAGAGTCAGTTGCTTAACCAACTGAGCCACCCAGGCGCCCCAAGAATACACATTTTTAATAAGTTCCTGAGTGTTGCTGCATGGGTGGTCTGGGGGGCACACTTTGAGAACCACTCTAATGGAGGCCACCTGGGAAGAAGGGAAGGGACTTCAGGGAGGGTAGTCCAGGAAGGTTTCTCAGAGAAAGTGGTGTCTGAGCCAGGAGGGGCTGCAGATTGGGAGCTGGCTTTATGAAGGTGTGGGCAAGAGTATCACAGATTGAGGGAACACTGAAGTGATTAGCCTGTGAGAGGAACAGGAGAGAGGTCAGTGTGGCCAAAGCTCAGTGAGGCTGGGATGGTGGCCAGAGGTGAAGGGAGAGAGGTGGGCAGAGGAAAGCCCACAGAGGGCCTTACTGGGCGTAGGGGACTGTGGAGCTCCTTCTAGAAGAAGGAGCAGGCATTGAAGTTTTTAATAAGCAGGCATGATCTACTGTAAAAGCTGACTCTGGCCACTGTGTAGAGAATGGCCTAAAGGGGGCAAGAATGGAAGTGGAGAGATAGTGAGGAGGCTGTGAGCTCCTGGAGGGGGAGGTTGGTGGCCCGGGGTAGGGCAGTAGAGGTAGAAAAGTTTCCATCCTCAGAGGCCCCAAGCTCCTATGCTCAAAACCCCAGATCGGCATCCCCCTGGCCCAGGGCCCTAGGAAGGCCCCAGGGAAGGACTGAGAAGAAAGAGGGTTGGGGGACAGGAGAGCAACAGACTCGTTGGCTGGGTTGAGATGTGTGCAGACAGAATCAGCCAGGAAGCCTCAGGATGTCCCACAACTCTGTCCTGCACCATCCCTACTTACAGGCTGCCCTTGGAGATTTCTTCCTGAGCTGCTCTGGTCATGCACTGTAACCTGATTTCTCTTAGATCAAACAGAAGTGTGTGTGTGTGTGTGTGTGTGAGAAAGAGAGAGATTTCTCCCTCTCAAATATCTCTGGAGTAAGCCTTGTCCAAGAAGAAATCTCACCTTCTCACCTGGGACCCAGCTTCCCTCTCCAGTCTTCTTAACTTTTCTAACCAAAGGCCTTCTCAAGGAACCCCCTCAGAGCCTTGCTCACTCCCTCCCCTTCCTCATCAGTGCCCTCCCTTTCTGCTCCACCCATTGAAATCCCACCCATCTTGTCTTCCCAAACACCTTCCCTGTCAGCTGCAGCTCCTAGGGACCCTGCTTCTCTGACTTTCCCCAGCACTGATGGAGAGGACCACTCTGGGCTCTGGGCATATACTGTAGCAGAGTGGTGTTTTGGGTTTCTCTCCTCATATAGTCAAGTAGCTCCTAGAGCCCTTACCTCCAGAATCACAGAGTCTAAGAGATAGAAGGGGCCTCAGAGATCCTTCCACAATATCCCAGACAGGGATTTATCAAGTGCTGGCTTGTATGCCACCAAAGATGAGGAACTCACTATCTCTCCTGGAAACCTCATTCCATTGTCCGATAGCTGAAGGTTTTAGAAAGTTTTTCCTTACTAAATTGGCCTCCATCTAACTCCACTATGAGGGCTTGGTTCTGCCCTCTGGGTTACACAGAAAAGAACATCTAATGCCTTTCACATAATAGCTCTTTGACTATTTGAAGATAGAGCGAGCATACTCCTTTCTGCTCAAGCTGAAGAGCCCAAACTTGCTCAACTCTGCCCTATAGAATGGAATCTTGAACCTCTTTTCTATCCATCTGACCCTCAGAGTGGCAGGGTTTTTAGGAATTTGTCCTATCCCGGGCCTGTGGGCATGAGAAGCTTAGTAAGTATAAGAAACACACACGTGCATGGGCATGCACACACACACACACACACACACACACCCCTATATAATAAGGGAAGGAGAACAGCATCTTCTAATATGGAGTCCTGTCCTGCCTGCTCCCATACTCTCTTGCTGACCCATACTCTCAAATCCCCAACAGGGAACTCAGAAATCGGCTACCCTTAGGCCGTAGGGCCTTAGGTATATGTGCCGAGCAACCTAACCCAAACTGGGAAACCCAGGGGCTTTCTGTGCCCAGAAAGGACATGGGAGTCATGCCTGTGTCCCTCCCCACTACCACCACCACACAGCCAACAGTGATGAAAGCGACATCATCCACGCTGTCCGGGTGGAGAAGAGCCCAGCAGGGAGACTGGGTTTCAGTGTGCGGGGCGGCTCTGAGCATGGCCTGGGCATCTTCGTCAGCAAAGTGGAGGAGGGGAGCAGTGCAGGTGAGCAGGGCCCCCAGGAGTGGGTGCTGGCTTAGGAGATGAGCCCCCACCTCGGTGGGGCTCTGGAGGCCTATTATCAACGATGGCAGGCAAGGGTCCTCAGCTTTGGAGGGCCTGATCCAATGGGGAAAGGAGGCCCCCTCCCAGGATGGAGTGGGCTCATGGACAAGTCCCTAGTCTAATAAGGAATACCCACACCTCACCTGGGGATCCCCAATCTCGTGGAAGAAGTTTTACCCCAGGGAGCCTTGTGTGGTGGGGAAGGCTTAGCTTTGCCCTGGAGGACTTGTCCCAAGGGGCCCATGGCAGCCGCCCCCTCCCCCGGTGCAGAGCGGGCTGGCCTGTGCGTGGGGGACAAGATCACGGAGGCGAATGGGCTGAGCCTGGAGAGCACCACCATGGGCAGCGCCGTGAAAGTGCTGACGGGCAGCAGCCACCTGCACATGATGGTGAGGCGCATGGGCCGCGTGCCGGGCATCAAATTCTCCAAGGAGAAGACCACGTGGTGAGAACGCCTGGTCCCAGCCCTGACCTTGACCCACCCCATCCACCCTATCCAGCCCATGGCAGGAGGCGCTGAGGGCACAGGGCTCTGCATGAGACTCAGCTATGTACGGCTTCTGCTCTCTCTGTCCCTTGGCGCTGGAAGCACAGCGATCCTAAGGCCTGACACTGAAATGGGACAAGGCCATGTCTCTCCCCTAGCTCTCCTCCCAACTCTATCCCAGACGCCGGCAGCCCTGTCCCCAAAGATGCTCTCCTGGGAGCCTGGGCATAGTAACAGCACCTCTCCCTCAGAGTTCTTGTGGGGATTTGAAATGGGTCCTGGCCCAATGGAGCCACTCCATAAAAAGAGGAGATTGGGGTGGTTTCCCAAATTTAATGAAGTCTACATCCCACAGAAGGTCTCAGGACTGGGGCGTCCCCCAAGGCGACCTCCCCTTACCTGTGCAGTTGTCCGAGACGCTGGAAGGAAAGGGGGTGGGTGGTGGTGGACGGGGCGGGGGGGCCCAGACTGACAGCCCCTTGCTGTTGTCCCAGGGTGGATGTCGTGAATCGGCGGCTGGTAGTGGAGAAGTGCAGCTCGACACCGTCCGACAGCGGCTCGGAGGACGGGGTGCGGCGCATCGTCCACCTGTACACCACGTCAGACGACTTCTGTCTGGGCTTCAACATCCGTGGGGGCAAGGAGTTTGGCCTGGGCATCTATGTGTCCAAGTGAGGGCTGGGGCGGGGCGTGCAATGCGGACGGGTCGGCAAGTGAGACTCAGCCAACTACATGTCCAAAGGAGGGCCTAGGTCAGGGGTGGGGTCTTGAGGGGAGTGGGGGGCTCCAGGAAGAGGGTCAAGGAGTTTGGCTGGGGCATCCCTGTGTCCGAGGGAAGAGTCTGGTCTAGGGTGAGGGAGGGCAGGCCAGGTGGCCTCTCAGACTGCCTCCTGTCTGACCCCAGAGTGGATCATGGTGGGCTGGCCGAGGAGAATGGCATCAAGGTGGGGGACCAGGTCCTGGCGGCCAACGGTGTCAGGTTCGACGACATCAGCCACAGCCAGGCCGTGGAGGTGCTGAAGGGCCAAACACACATCATGTTGACTATCAAGGTGGGCAGGACTGTGGGTGTCAGGGAGAGGCCAGACTATAGGAGGAACTTCCCAGACCTCTCTAGAGTTTAATGCCCATTGCCCTACAACTTACGACTTTTCCACAGCCATTTGAGAGGGCAGGCATTGTGCTCATCCCTAGTTCACAGAAGAAAAACCTGAGGCTGAGAGAGGCAGAGTCACTCAGAAACCACGGTCACTTCCTCGGCTGGCTAGTAGCAGGGCCTGCTTCCAGTCCTGCTGCCCAGACACCCAGGGCAGTGCCCCTTCGGATGAGTGTGGAGGTCCAGCGTTGAAAGGAGAAAACGTCCCACCCCGAGGGTGGGGTGGTAGCTGCGGCTTTGGGCAGGACCTGGGCACAGGGCAAGGACGGCTGGGCTGAGGCCAGAGATCGGATTTCAGGGGAGGCACCTGCATTCATGATTCATGTGGGTCTCACACTTGCCTGAGGATCAGGTCCTTCTCACTCTGGCTGCAGGGGAGGTGACGGCTCGCTCTCCGCTAGGACCCACTCCCGGCCCCGGCTCCGCTCTCCTCCCTTCCCAAGCCTTCACCCCCTTCGCCCTTCAGGGCCTCCTCCGCCATTCCCCTGCTTCTGCCCCCTTGATTTCCCATCCCACAATCCCCCCATCCCGTTTCTCCCTTTCCTTCCTCTCGCATGACCCCGAACGCTCCTCCTCTCTCCCACTCTGCCCCTCGTTCATTCATTCAACATTTTTGAGTATGTCCTACGTGACAGTGCCTATGCTGGGTGCTGGGGCTATAAGACAGATGAGGTCTCTGCTCCGGGGGG